ACCCCACCCTGGGCAGCAATAATAGAACGGGGCCATCTGACATCAGTGTGACCCTGGTCAGCAAACTCCCTGAACAGCCCTGAGCCCAGACAGCAATGACATCATACAGTGGGGACCCATGCTCCCAGGTGGCTATGACCTGAGTGTGGCTCTGCCACTCACCGGTTGAGGGCAAATGTGTAGTGGAAGCGGACATTGTGCTGCTCAGCCACATCACAGGTGGGCAAGGCCTGCAGCGTCTCCACCAGCCCGATGATGGCTGAATAGTCCTGCGTGAGGGAGCGGCACACACTGAGACAACGGCCTCTGGTGGGTCCTGCTGGCCCCCAATCCCTGAGGAAAAACCTTGAGCTGGGGGTCCCCCCCACCCCTGACACCCCACCTTCCCACCACCACCCTCTGCATACCTCCCTCCGGCCCGGTCGGCAGTGTAGACACTGCACTTGCATAGAGAACTCGCTGTGCACCCCAACCTCACAGCTGCCCCGGGAGACAGTGATGTGATCACCCCCACTACACACTGAAGCTCAGAGACGTGAGGAGCTGATGCGCATTTGTCTGACACCGATGCTACGTCCCACCCGCCTCTCTGTGTGCACCTGCACGTCTCGGTAGGAAAGCAGCAGGTTCATGATGATGTCGGGGCTCAGCAGCTCCACGCTGTCCAGTCTCTGCTGCAGGCGAGCCAGCTCCTGCCGCAGCTGCTGCCCGCTGAACCGCTCCCGGGCCTGCCGGATGTCCTGCCGAATGGTCTCCCGGAAATAGCCACTGGTGCCCGCAGCGGGAGAGGAAGGGAAGGGGAGGAAATGGTGGGGCCTGTCCGTCAGCCCACACCACTGCACCCACTCCAGCCTCCTCCTGGTGCACCTTCCCTCGCTCCCCCTTACCAAGAGTCTGTGGGTGTGGCCTCCAGCAGACGGGCAAGTCGGCCCACCAGGGGTGTGAGCAGGGCCTCCGTGCCCACTCCAGGCTGGACCAGCCCGTCAGCCAGGCCTCTCAGGAGGCCGACATCACCACACAACACTCGACCGGTGGCTGTCACGACATAGGGGATCAGCGTGTAGCTGCCAACACAATCCTGGTGGGAAGGAGGCAGGAATCAGTAGAGGTCAGAGGTCAGCACCAAGTTAGAGAGAGGCAGTGAGAGAGTCGGAGGTCAGCACCAGTGGGAACTGGACTAGTAGGGAAGGGGCACACTGCAGGAAGGGAAGCAATAGGGAGCAGAGGGTCACACAGATGTCAGGGGGTATTAGAGAGGTCAGAGGTGACTGAGGAGGCCAGGAAAGGTAGTGGGGGTCAGAGGTCATAATGGAAGTCAAAGGGCACGTTGGAGTGAGGGGTGGTTTCTGCTCACAGAGTTCTTCTGGAAAATGTCCTCCTGCAGGGAACAGACAGATACTGATGCTCTGGGTAGGCCCTCCCCCCACCCTGTGCCCGCCCCCACCCACCACCTGGCCACCTACCCGAAGGGCCTGCAGGTCAGGGATGTCAGCTTGGGAGCAGAGAAGCACGTTGTTGGTCATGCTGAAGCTCTCACGCACACCGAGGTGGTAGAACAGGGAAGGCTGTGCCAAGGAGCTGCTCACCTCCAGCACCACCACGTCTGCAAGCACACGGGTGAGGGCCCTGAGCCCTGGAGCCCAGCTCAGTGGGGGGAGGGGGCTGGAGATCCATCCTGGCTCAGCCCGCCTTTCCGTGTGGCTCCAGCAGGATCCAGTTTTGCTCCTGGCCTCAGTTTCCCCCTTTTAGGGTCCTTTGGGCTCTTACACAGAACTAGTGTCTGTGGTGCAGCAGGAGAGGGCTTGGGCTCAATGGACCCTCACCCTGCTGTTCAGAGCCTGTGGCCCCTGGGCACAGGGAAGGGGAGGCTGTGCACCAGCCCAGCACCTGCTCTAGGCCATTTGAGAAGCAAGAGTTGGGCCAACACATAAGTCGCCTTCCCTGAGCCCTCAACCCAGTCTCTTGAAAGGTCCCAGCACTGTGTGTAGATAACTCTGCACTGTGTGTGTGCCTATGTGTGTACAGCTTATTGTGTCTGGATCTCTGGGTGTGACAGGGTCTGTGAGGACCTGTGTATTGACATGCATGTGACTTGTAAGTCTGTCTGTGACTCTGAAAGCAAGGGCGAGTGAGCCTTCCTTTTCTAGGCTGCGATTTTATGGACATCCGGCAAGCACCGGCGCCCGGACTCTTGGATAAACAAATAAGTATCGGGAGGCGTCAGGCTTGGCAGAAGGAAGAGGCTACTTGCCCTGGAAAAATTGCCTCCTGGTCCCACCCCCAAGAGATTCTGCCCCGCCTCCAGCCCCGCCCATTGTCTAGGGGGAATGAGCGCCTCATAACCTAAGCTCCCTTGCTCAGAATCCAGTCTGTCGAGTCCCATGCTTCCCTTTCTGCCTCTCTAGCCCAATCCTCGGAAGTAGTATGCTAGCACACCTGAACTCTAGTCCCCCAAGTAGAGGCCCTTCCCTAGTCCAAGCTCCACCTCCCAGGATCCGCCCTCCTATACTCCGTGTGAAATCATTCCGAGGCGGAGCTCTCCAACCCCATTGCTAAAATACCGCACCCCCACCCCCAGCTCCCCGGCTCCCAGTCCTAACCCTGCTCCTTATGCACCGTGCCTGCATAAGTCCCAATCCTAAACCCCGAAGAAGCCGGGCCTGGATCCGCTAAGTTCTAGCCCGATCCCGGCCACGCTCCAAACCCCCTAAATTCCACTTTTGTCAGGGTACCACCTCGGGTCTCTACATCATACGCCCCCAGACTTGACACCCTTCTCGGCCCCTCCCCAGAATCGGTGAGCCACTCCCCTTTCAGCCCAGCCCAAGGCCCTAAATCCGCCGGTAATCCTGGTCCCGCAGCCCAGCGCACACTCACCGGCGTTGTAGAAGGAATCCAGCGCTGCTGTGTCTCCCAGCGCCAGCGTCCCAAAGGGCAGGCTGCGCAGCTGCGGCCGCTGCCGTGTCCCGGGGACCTGAGCGCAAGCCTCGCGCAGGCAGCGGAGGGGCAGCGGCTCTGCCTCGGCTCCCCTCTCCTGCTCTACTCCGGGCTGCGGCTCCCGGGTCAGCACGTAGACCACGCTGAGCGGCCGGCCTCGTGCGCAGCCCCGGCCGGGGGGCGCCGCAGTCGACCCGCCCCTACTCAGCGCCTCGGCCAGAGGGTCCTGCCAACAGCTACCGGCGCACTCCAGGGCCCCGGGCGGGGGGCACTGCCCCGCCATGCGAGGGCGCTCAGGCGTCAGGCGTGCTCTGGGCACCCAGCACGGGGCAGGAGCCAGGGGCGATGTGTCCAGGTCTCTCGAGATCGGGAATCCGATTGGGACCAGGAATCTCTCATGGGATCTGGAGATCCGAAGTCCTGCCAGAGATCCCGTCCCCGAAATCTGGAGTACAGGACGGAATGTGGTCTCTGACTTGGAAGGTCCTGAGGATCTGAAATCGGGAATTGGGTCCCAGGAATCTGGAGCATCCAGTGATCCGTGGCTCAGAGTCACGTGGGAGATTCCAGGAATTAGTCCGACCCTGTCAGCCACTCAGACACCACAGGAGAGCGTCCACCGTCGTTTTCTCTGCCCTACGTGTAGGCTGGGCCCAGCCCTTTCCCGCCGACCCGGAAAGCTCCACCCTCGGCCCTGGGGCAGCACCGCTCCCTAGCGGCCCAGGACTCAGCCTCGCGCCTCCCTCGGATCCAGCTAGAGCCTCCGAGTCCCGCGCTTCCGGAACAGCCTGTGCCCCTGCGCGCGCCAGCCACCGTGGACTGCTCACAGCAGGAGCTCACAATATGTGTGCCCAGGTCCGAGCTAGGGAAGAGGTGTGAATTGCAGGCCCTGACTCTCAGGGATCCGTTGAATGAATGGATCTCCAGAGACACTAGGATGTGCAGAGCGTGGTGAGGAGTGGGTGTTCTCCACCGAGGGACTGGAATGGGGAAAGCCCGCCCCTCCCCCTGCCTGAAGGCCATTATCCCTAGTACGGGACTTGGCAACTGAGCCCCCCAGCTTGCCCTCTTGCCAGGGAGGCTACTTTCCCCAGAATCCAATTTGCTGATCTTGGACCTCCATTCTGAACCTGACCGTAGGACTTGAGAAAAGTGTCCACACAGACATTTCTCTACCCACCTGAGAGGGAACCCGAGGACTCTGGCCCTTCTCCAGTAAGGGAGGCGGCAACCTGCTGTACACCTCGGTGGGCTCCGACATCAGGAACTGGGGACTCAGAGAGCTTGAGTGACTCGTCTGAGATCACTCCGCCACAGCAGGACGCGACCCCCAGGACTGCAGTCTTATCAGACGACAGGTATCAGACCCTCCACTGCCATATTTTGCTGTGTATAATGTGCACTTTTTTGCCCAAATTTTTGAGGGAGAAATAAGGATGTGCATTGTATGTGGGTATAATGATTACATACCATGGGTATAATTGCCCCGTGTGTAATGTGCACACACATGAGTGTGCATTATACACGGCAAAGTATGGGTATTTATTGTTCTGCCACTTTCTAGAATATGGCTCTGGTGGACTAACTGCTTGATAAATGCTGGCTCAGTAACTGCTGTTTCATTGCCTGTAGCCCCATGGAAGGAAATGTACCTTCCTTGGTTTAACCCTGAGTTTAAACCAGCCCCTAGTAGATCCAGAGAGAAGTAGCCACAGATAAGCTCTGGGCTTACAACGGAAGCTGGGGTGGAAAATGGATGACCTGTCGAAGACAGTCATGGGCAAGAGGGTGAGAAAACTGCAAATTGTACCACAAAACCACCCACTTGTAGGACCCCAGAGGGCCCAATGGCACTGTCAGTGGATGCTTGAATCCCAAGTCCTTCACTAAATGTTCCCCTGGTCTTGGCTTGCATACTTCCAGAGATGGAAAACTCACTACCTTATGAGGCGGACCCTTTCCTCTTCCTGACTCAAAGAAAAGTCTTCCTTCAGTGGAGCTAAAAACCTATGTCCCTACTCTTGAGGTTTTCCCAGTGACTGGAAGAGTCCTACACGCCAGGAAAGGGTTAAAATGATTTTATTTTTAAAAGCGGACAGCAGAACAGAGGCAGTTAGCGATGGGGAGGGGGAGCCGAGGGTCCGGAAGCTGTGCAGCAGAGATAAGGGCTCTGGCTGCCAGCGTGCCCTAGCGAAGCATGATGCGGACCCTGCGGTACGGGTGGCCCACGCCGAGGCCCGAGGCCCAGTCAATGCCGTACTTGTGGGCAGCGGTGAGGGACATGGCATAGTGCCCGTTGAGATTGGACCGGTAGCAGGATCCGTACCACCACGCACCGTGGACCACCACCGCGCAGTTGCCCCCGCTGTTTGCATCATGGTCAGCATCGTAGGTGCTGAAAGACTTCCCATTGTGATAGCTCAGGGAGTCCCCTGCAGGGAGGGATGGGAGGCTCTTTGGTGCCGGCGCCATGCCTGGCACCCTTGAAGAGAGTACCTCACAGGAGCCTCAGAACAACCGAGAGGTGGGTGTCATCGGGCCCCATGAGAAAACTGCAGTGCCAAGGAGCCAGGGTGCTTGCCCAAGGTTGCCCAGCTAGTCACAGGGCACTGGGACTTGAACTCAGAACCCTGGCTCCGAAGCTGCCAGCTCCTCTCCCTGCCTTGTCCCCTCCCAGAACCACCAGCTTCTCTCTGGCTCCTTTGTCTCGTCCTAGCTCCCACCTGCGGCAGCCTGAGCAACTCTGTCAGGAAGAGCTGGGAGGGACTCCTCAGACACCCCAGCAGGAGAGGGGATCTGAGATAGCTCCTCGGATCACTTCCCTCTTTCAAGTCTTTCCTCAACAGTTGCTGTTTCTCTGAAATAAGCCTTCACTAGTTCCTCTTCCAAAGCAGACAACGCTAACACTCAACAGGGCCTCAGTAGTTCCCGCAGCCTCCCTCCCCGCCTCCTTGTCCCTTTTACGGTGCAGGAAACTGAGGCTCTGACGCGGAGGGAACTTGCCCAGAATCACGGTTAGTAAATGACAGAGCTGGGTTCAGACTCCGGTCTGTTTGCCTCAGGAGCCCAAATTCTTTACTTGTGTACCACCTTGCTTCCTAACTGCCATTTCTCAGATGAGACCATGGAGGCCAGAGAGGACAAGGGATTATCCTGGGTCATTACAGAAGCAGTGGCAGTGCTGTGCAAGAACCCAGCATCCCTCACCTTTTTCCCCTTCTCCAGGGCCCCACCTGAGGGTTGCTCACCTGCAGTGCCCTCTAAGAACTTGCCCAGCACCAGCTGGTAGTGGTCCGCCTCCCCAAGGAGGCGGAAGGACTTGTAGTGGGCAAAGGTGTGGTTGCCATTAAAGTCCTCCAGCTCCACGCAAAGCTCCCAGGTACCTGGTGGGGGTGGAGGGAAGGGCAGGGAGGGGGAATCCTCAGACCCCAGAATGCCAGAGGAATGCCCCTCAGGCTCCCTGGATCTGGCTGGGGACCTACCCTGGAGAGTCAGCTGGTGCAAATTCTCATTACCCAGCCAGAATTCGGACTCCTGACTCCCGAAACCTGCTTTGTAGGAGGACCAAGAGCGGAAAAAATCCACAGAACCATCCTGTCGCCTCTGGAACACCAAGGGAGGTGGAGAAGGCTAGCACAGCAGCTCCAGGCTTGGGGTGAGATGAGGAGGGGCAGGAGGCAGCCGCAGCTGAGCGGGGGCGCCCTGTGCGGCACAACAGCCACTCCCTGCCTCTTTGGACTGGGGGCTTGTTGATACAGCGTGAGTCCAAGTGAGCTTCGCCTGTGAACGTAGTGATGAACTCTACATTCTCTCATTAGCTTTTAGTGCCAGTAAAACAGTCAACTTCACACCAAAGCCTTGCCAGTCCTGGGGAAGACTGAAATGATAGAAATGCTGTTCCTGCCTTCGGGACCTGGTCAGTCCTGCTGGGGGTCAGATTCAAAAAACCTGGCTGTAATTTACTATGATAAGAATCAAGATATCAGAGCTGAGGGGTCACCTCCAGAGGCCCAAGCCGGACTCCCGGCCTCACCCTGATATTCCCCCTTCAGGCCAAGCGGGTGCCCAGGCTCTGCCGAGTTTCCCTCCGGAGCGTCTTTCAGTGTAAGTGCCTCCATTCCCACTGCTGCCACCGCCCACTGTCTTCTCCGGCCCGAACCCCTGCAGGCCTGCTACCCCGTGCCCCTGTTTGCACTCTTGTTCCCCACTGCAGTGCATCTGCCACGTTGTCGTCTTTCTAAAGCACAAGTCTGGCCTGGCAATTCCCTGCTTAAAACTCCCCCGTGGCTCCCCATTTACCCCACGATCCGCAGTCATTCAGTGCTCCCCGCGAACCGGCCCTCGCAGAGGCCTTCCATGCATGCCTGACCCTCGCCAGTAGATCTCAGTCCGCCAGCCACTCACACCCGCTCTCAGCTCTCTCGCCCCGCCCCTGAAACCTTCGGGCACTGTCCCTTCTCTCTGCACGCGTCTTCCCCTCTACCCAGAATGCTGTCCTGCACCTCGTCTGTCTGGAGAACTTCTGCACAGTCTTCAAGGCCCTGTCAGATGGCACCTTGTCTGTGGAGCCTGCTCAGACCTCAGGTCCCCTGGGGGCTCAGTAAACGTTTGTCTGCGAATTACTCCAAAAACGCCTTGGCTCCAGTGGGCTCTGGCTCCCCCTGGGGGCCAAGGGGCAGAAGTGGGCCTCGCCTGTGAGTCTTCTCTCTGACACTCACCAGCCATCCACCCCCTCGGGTGTCCATGTCACAAAAAACTGGGAGGGCTCTGCCTTCTGGTAGGCACAGATGGTACCAGCCACTCAGGGTGGCACCCTGGCGCAGCAGCTCCTGGCAGCTCCTGGGGCCTGGGGAAGGGGAGATGGACTGAGAGGCCCCCCAAGTTATGACCCAACCCCCACTCCCTGGGCAATGGGAGAGACTGAGTGTGGGACCTCAGGAGCCCTCTCTGCTCCTTCAGGGCCGTGAAAGGGGCTCTGGGCTGGCCCACGCCTGGTACTCCACCAACACCCCAGTACCACCAGGTTCCAAGCTCCCAGCTCCTGCGAAGGCTGCCTCACCTTCCCCGCACCGGAGCAGGTTCGCTGGGTCTCCTGCCACGAGGAGAGGCCGAATGTTAGCTCTGAGGTCTGAGTATCCCCGAGGCGATGCCCACAAACCATCAGAGGGGAGGGTGCGCAGGCCCTTCTAACCTTGCCCACCCCTTCAGCCTTCCACGCCTCTGTAGGAGGGCAGTCACAGCTAATGGCTGAGTAGCAACCCAGCAGAGCCCCCCACCCCACCCACCTCCACACCTTTCTAGCCCAGGGACAGAGCAAAGAAGGAAGAGGCCTGGGTTTCACTCACTCACCTGACTCACCCTTGGGGCCCATCTTGCCCGGTGGTCCAGGGTGCCCTGAAATCCCAGAGACAGGGATGCTGTGAGCTCCACCCCATACCCAGGGCCAAAAGCAACAGGGATTTGGAGACTGGAGTCAAATTCCAGCTGCATCCTTCCCTGGCTGTGACTGTGGACAGCCGACTTATCCTCTCAGAGCCTCAGTTTCCCCCTCAGTAAAATGGGGGAAACTCTCCCGCTCCCTCACAGAGTTGATCTTTGGGTCCCGGCTGCCCAGCCTGGAGCCCGGCACACAGTAGGTGCCTGGCCCCTTCGTCATCGCCCTTAGCACAGGCAGTTACTGCTGCACCGCCAGCCTCCCCAGTGTAGCCCAGTCCCTGTCTGCTCCCTGGGGCCTCTCACCTTGAGGACCTGGACTTCCTTTCTCCCCAGGACTTCCTGGGGCTCCGGGACAGCTGGGCAGGACGACAATTTTGCTGGCTTCCAGTTGCCTGGGTTCTGCATGGAGACACAGGGCCGGGTGGCACCAAGTGGTTACAGCGGGAGTGGGCATGCCTCTGTCTCCCAGACCCCCCTGAAGTTCTCTTTCCATCTCGCAGATTCCAGCTGTCAGGACACTTGCCTCCAAGGGCTTTCAAGGCTTTGTACTGTTTGCATCTATTTGCAGAGCCCAGATTACCAAATGCCCACCCTGCTCCTTGAGGCTAGTGAGCCTGGGTGGGAGAAGGACACCAGTGAGGGAATGAGGGCGGGTTGGTGGGGAGGGCACCCTCCAACCCTACCTGGACAGCTGGGTTGGTCCTCAGTCCTCAAACAGGCAGGCTCCCTGAGCAAGAGGAGAAGAAGGGAGAGTGGTGTCCACAGAAGGCCCATCTTGCTGGTCCCCTCGAGAGAAAAATGCCCATTTATAAGGGGGCCAGGCTGGTGGAAGAACAAAGGAAGACTTCCATCCATTGTGCCTGCTCAGGGACACCCCACCCAGGTTGGAGCCAGCAGGAGATGGGGGCATTTCCTCCCTCGGCCCCAGAGAGAATGGGCGTTATCACCGACCTGTTCAGCTGGGAGGGCGTCCAACCTCTGCTCCCGGCTGCCAGGGCTCCCCAGCCATCTCTCCAGACCTTCCCATTCACGGGCAATTTTCTGAGCCTTCCACCTGGAATGCCCTTCTCTGTACCTCTCCTGTGGGCTCTGCCTATCCATGAAGGTCCGACCCTAATGTCGTCTCCACTGGGAATGCTTTCCCGACCTGGCGGTATTCATGACCCCTGCTACCACTGGTTGGGTGCCTACAGCTCGCCACAAGCCACACTGCATGCAGTTTGTGCGTGGCCTCTGATCCTTACACGGCCCTGCTCATGGTCATTACTATTGGCCCTGGGTTACAGGCCGGTACAAAGCAGGTGTTCAGTAAATATTGGTTAAATAAAGGAGTAAGCAAGGAGAAACTGAGGCCCTGAGACAGGACATGACTTGTGCTCTCTTGGCACTGGCATGCCCAGAGCCACAGATTTTGCCCAAGCTCCATGCCTCCCACCAGGGAGAGGCACCATTAGCAAAGTGACACCATGCCCACCCACAAGTCCCTTGGGAAGCCCCTAGCAAGGCCTAGGAAACAGCTGCTAATATCGGCCAGTTGCATGGGCAGCTCAGGCAGGCAGGCCCGGAGGCTGGGAGGCCAGTGGGGAGGCAGCAGCCATGACCCAGACATGAGGCATGAGGTCTGAGCAGGGGAGGTCCCTCAGGTAATAGGGGAGGAACGGGGAGTCTCATTCATTCATTCACTCATTCATTCATTCATCAGACCCTCCCTGAGGGCCTCCTCTATGCCAGACCCAGAACTTGTGGTGGTCAGGAGGGCTGAGGTACCATGGGGCATCGGGGCGGGGGTAGGTGGGTTGGAAGCCCAGTTTACCAGACAGGACGGACCCATGAGATGGATGCTCCGAGGCCCTGCATTCTGTCCTGGGGATCCGTCCCCCTCAAGCTCTCCCACAGGGGTGCCAAGGCCTGTGGACAAGCCTGTTTCTCGTGCTGCTGTTTGTAATCATCAGTGTGGAAACAACCCAACCGGACATTGATAGGATGAAGGCAAAGAAGTTATCACCGTGTGTGCAAGTCCTGGGGCGAATCTGGTGAGGAACGAACGGGCGAAGTCGCAGAGCAACAAGCACGGCACAGCCCCACTTTGTGCTTTAACGAAGCTGAATGTACATTCAGGGAAAGGCCTGAGACATACCGTGAACCATGGTTACTTCTGGGGAGTGAGACCAGTGGGGCAGCGGTTCTCACTCTTTATACAAACTTCTTTATGGCCCTTTTGTTCCTTAGAGGCATTTACTACTTTTGAAAAACATCCAGTGAAGAAATGTTCTTAACCGAGTGGAAAGCCAGCAGGAGGTGGGGGCATTTCCTCCCTCCGTCCCAGAGAGAATGGGCATGATCCCTGCCAGCTCTTAAGTGCCGGCCGGAGAAGCCAGGGGAGGGCGATCCAGGCTGGAGGAGCTGCGTGCGCGGAGGCTTGGATCGGAGACAGAGCAAGGCAGGCTGGGTAACAAGAGGTGGACCCAAGTAGCTGGAGGGGTGTCTCCAGGGGAGGCTGTCTGAGAAGATGGTGGGCATCGATGAAGGTATGTGGGCAGAGGGAGGTGGACTGTTTGCAGTTTTGTGGATGATGGCATGATACATGAGGCCAGGGAAGAGCCAGAACTCCCCACCCGTGGACTTCCAGTGGCCGCTGAAGAGCCTGCAGGGCGGCCAGGTCTGGAGAAGTGGTACGAGAGGGAGCACCCGTGCCTGCTCTGAACCCTCCCCACATCCAACTGAGCTGGATATTACTGTCCCCCCACTTTACGGATGAGGAAAATGAGGCCCAGAGCTGTCACATAACTTGCTCCAGTTCACACACAGAGCAGCTCAGTTCCACAGGCTGAACTCTCAGCCATTACTGTCTATTGCCTCTCAGCTTGGACAGTCCTGTGATTATATATCAGACTCTTAGCCACATGCCTGGTTTCCAGCACGTGCTGCCCTCAGTGGGAGATGTTATTAGTCAGGGAAGACTTCTGGGCCCAGGGATGGGGTGGGGGTAGGGTGAAGGATGGGAGGAGGGCATGGGCAGGGCTTCCCAGGAGGGTTTGAGCACAGAAATGGCTGTGCAGAGTTATGGGGGTGTCCCCGCCTCGGCGCAGGGGCAGAGACATCACTGAAGGAGCTGAGAGAGCCTGGCGGGGCCTCTGCAGGGGACTTCTAACGTTCTGCTCACTCTGGGGCCAGAAAAACCTAGATTCGAGCCCAGCCCTGCCCCAGCCTGCTAGGTGATCTTGAGCAAGTATACTTAGCTCCCTTGAGTCTTTGTACATGGTACACCTGTACAGGGACAGGGGAGGGGGCTAAACACATGTAACAGACGAATATATTTTAAAAGGGGACATCAACAGTCCAAGGCTGAATTCCCATGAAGGAGGGAACAGTGGCCACATCCCCACCCCTCCCAATCCACACACAGCCCAAGACACGGGACACAGAGCACAGTGCTGGAGAGAGTTCCTTTATTCGAGGGCGCTGCCCAAGCCGGGTAGGTGGGAAGAGGCAGGCACGGGCCCAATGCCAAGCAGGGGTCCTGCAAGGGGCCCACAGGGATGACAGACAAGACAGGAGGCATTTGGAGGATGGTCTCAGCGGCAGGAACCAGGCCCAGGACAGGAGGGGGCGCCAGGTATTGCACGCTGAGACTACTTGGTGCCAAAGGTTTTCCCACCCCCAGTGCCCACAAGGCGGCCAAGAGGGCAGCCTCTTCATCCTCCTTCCCCTCAGTGTGGGATCCAGGCCTGAGAGGTCAGATTCTGCAGAGGCCAGACAGAGAGGGTGCTCAGGGCGGTGGCCTCACCCCAGCCAGGCTGAGGACCCCACCCCCAGCGGACAGGCGCAGCCGGAACAGCAAACACTTTAATGGAGGCTGCAGTGACCCGCCCCACAGCATACACGGCACACAGGGACCTCCAAGCAGCCCCCCTTCTCAGAGGAAAACCAAACCGCACACACAGCTGAGGTCCTGCCCAAGGCCACAGAGCTGCAGGCCAAAGTCTCGCCTGGGCTACCACCTACTGGTTCTCCTCCCTGCCGGCAGCATGAGGGACAAAGACAAGTGGGCTCAGAGGAGCTCTTAGACACCAGGCCGGGGCTGAGTCCTGGCCCCAGCCAGTCTCTGGCAGAAAGAAGTCCGCAACTGGGGGAGGTGGAAGGGGTGTGGCTCACACGGGGGGGGGGGGGGCACTGCGGGGGAGCCATTGTCCTTAGGGCAGCCCCACTGAGAAGACAGTTCACTGTCACTTATGGGGACTGGACCACAGGGGCAGGGCTGGAGTGGGGGAAGTGAGCCAGACTCTGCTGGCTGATCAGGTAGGTACTCACAGTGTCTGGTAGGTGCTGTCCTTGGCCTTGAGGAAGCGCAAGACGAAGAAGGCCACTGCCTGTAGGCTCAGCACCAGCACGATGCCTCCAATGAAGCTGGCCCCATCGAAGCCAGGGTTGTTGGCTTCAGGGACATGGGGACTCTCTGCAGGGTGGAGAGAGGTCATAGCAGGCCACTCAGGACCAGGATCCCAGGCCTACCCCAGGAACCGACAGAAGTCACCTGGAGGCCCCAGTCCTCACTATGGGAGCCCGGGAACAGCAGGCCCAAAAGGTCAGTGGGATCCTGTGGGCAGTTGGGAGGTGCACTATCCCTGGTGGGATAGTGCCCAGCTGGGCAGGGCAGGGCCTCAGCTCCAGCCCTGGCTCCGCTCCTGAGTTGCTCTGTGGCTTGATGCTCCTCATACCCTCTCTTGGGCCCCTGAGCACGTGGCCAGTGGCACCTGAGCCCCCTTCCCTTCCAGACGCCAGCTCTCACACTGGCCTGACAGGAGGAGGGCGGGCCCAGAACTCGGGCATCCAGACTGCTTTCGACCTTGGGTCTCGGGGTTCAAAGCCCAGATACAGACGATGTGGTCCCCTATCAGGACTCCTGAGGCCTCGGAGCTGCCCCTTACTTAGAAAGGGAAGGAGCAGAGGCCCACACTCTGGCCTATCCTAGGGAGCCGATAAATGGAGACTAGATGATTTATGTCAGAGGAGGAAGCCAGGCTCTAAGGGCCAGGCCTGTCCAGAGCCACCTCACAGGACACAGCCAAACTCACACAGTGTCCCCTAACCCCTTCCCCTGCCCTGGCTTAGGGGCCCACAGTTATTAGGCCGTGCCTGGGTGGCTCCCAGCTGTGCCACGTTAGCCATCAACTCTCACCAGGGATTCGATTTCAGGCCCTGGGCCCAGTGCCCAGGACAAGGCAGGGCTGCTGCGAGATCATTCTGGGGCAGTGGACAGGGCCCCAGCGGAGACCTGGGTCCACCTCCCAGAGACTGTCATTTGTGTAAGGAGTTCCGAGAACATGAAGGGCTAAGGGTGGTCCCAGCTGCAGCCCCGGCAGCCCTGTCCGGGGGAGAGGGGCGGACGGGAGAAGAGATGAGCTGCACAAGACCGGCCTGGGGCTCGAGCTGGAGGGAGCCGAACTATCAATAATTCAGCCTCTGAGATCACGTTTCTGGCTTTAATTAACCAAGAGCCTCTTCAGCCATCCCTGCCAAGCCTGCTGAACCCCAGACCCTGAAGGGTGGTGGGGGCCAAGGGGCAGGCTTCTTGCCTCTGTTCTGCCAAGAATCTGCTTTGTGATCCTCTCTGGACCAGTAGTTGGTCACGGTGGACATCTCATTGGCCACCTGAGCCACACCCCCTCAACGCCAAGTGCAGGTCCTTGAGGGGGTCACCTGGAGTTCTCAGAAGTGGTGTTCGGAAGAGGGCATTAGAACCGACCTTTCCCTGATCACCTTCCTTGCATCAGACGCTGAACTAGGTGCTACACACCCTTTCATGAAACCCTCACAGCGACAATGGGAGGTGACATCTGACCCACTGTACAGATGTGCAAACGGGCTCGGAGGGAGAAGTCACAGGTCTGAGGTCACAGAGCATGTTGACGCCAAAGCCCAGCTCCCCCAGGTGGCACCTACCTGTTGTGATTGTCTTTGGTTCATAGGTGGGGTGGTGGTGGGCAGCTGAAAAGACAGGGAGTCCGTGAGAAGCCAGCTCTCCCGCCCCTTGACTCCCATCAAGCCCCCAGCCCGGGCCAACAACGAGCCTTCTGGCTCGGGTCAGGGCCTCTGGCCCCGGTCCAGGCCTGCCCAACACACTTGCAAGCCCTTCTTCACACAGTTCCTTCCTCCAGTGCCCTCTCTCCATCGCAACCGTTAAAAGTCATCCCTGATGCCACCTCCTCCAGAAAGCCCTCCCCTGTTCCCTTCCGAACTGCCAAAGTCCTCACTCTGCTTTAAATTAGAGAAGCTAACGCGCCCCACCACCCATGCCTGTTTTGTATCCTCCACCTGTACCCATTTACAGATGAGGAAATAGGCCAGAGAAGGGAAGAGAGTTCTGGGCGAGCTAAAGGCAGAACTGAAATTGGACCCAGGTGTTCGCAGGCATGGTCCTCTCCCCGAGAGAGAAAGAGACGGATTCCTCCCGGAGGGCAGGCTTTGGCGGGGGGCACTTCAGCCCCGTCTCCCCAACTTGGATTAGGCCAGCGGGAGTCCCCTTACCTGGACACGACTCTGAGTGGTTGTAGACAGAACAACCTTCCTTGACCACCTCAGCTTGGTCCATACAGTGTCCTAGTGGGAGAAGGGGAAAGGGAGTGGTATGGGGAGAGGGGCCAAGGTCCTGGGGTTCAGAACCGAGGCACTCGACTCGGGGAGGGCCACGTACCTGGCTCCTCGGGACGACATTGCTCCCACACGCAGCCGGAGAGGTTGTGCGCTCTGCCCCCCTCCACACAATGCTCACAGAGCTTCAGCTCTTCACAGGCCCCTCGGACAGCCGGCCAGACATTCATCCGGAGAAGGGCTCCCCGCCCAAAGCCTCGAGCTCCTTTACCTGGTAGTGGGGTGGAAGCAACCCCTTGAATAGGAACTGAAGCCCCCTTCCCCACTGCGGTGGCGTTGGCCCTCTGCACACACACACACTCAGCTGGATCCCCTAATCCCCACTACACGCCTGGAGTTTCCACAGACGCAATTAACACACACCTAGGACTTCCCTGATATCCACCCAGAGTCCTTTCCCTTGGCATATACTGGGGTTCCCAGATACATTTGAAGCTGCCTCCCCCATACACACCTGAAGCTCCTTACTATACACACAGCCAGAGCCGCCTTTACCCATCCCCGGAGCCCTGCCTACGTATGGAAAGTCCCCTTCTCCTCCCCCACTACCCCTCCCAGCCGACCGCTCCTGGACAGGCGGCTGGGTGAAGGGCACGCTCCGCCTGCCCCGGCCCCTAACCAGACCCTGGCCAGCATTACCAGCCACAACGAGCTGGGCACACAGGAGGAGGCAGCAACAGCCGCCACAGAGCGCAGCCCGTAAGGCTCGGGGTCCCGGCAAGGCCATGGGCGCGGGGGCGGGGACGGGGGGTCCGCGGAGAGCTGGTGTCCCGCGTGCCTTCTGGACTCGGCTCCGCCAGGGTGTGGGAAAGAGACTGGACCGAAAGGGGCGGGTAAGGTGGGCGGGGCTGTGACGTACAAGAATGGGCGGGGCCTGGTGGTCCAGGGTAGAACCAGATAGGGCGTGGTTAGTGGGCGCAGCCAGGTGGGGCCGGGGCGGGCGGCCTGGGCGGGGCTATGACAAAAGGAGGCGGAGTCCAGGACTAGTTGCGACCTGGTCCCTGGGAACCCCCAGCTGCAATTTCAAGGAACCTGTTGAGTAGCAAGTTATCCCTACCTCACCGGTGAGGAAACTGAAGCTCAGAAAAGATGAATGACTAGTTAGAGGTCACAGAGTTAATGGCAAAATCTGGATTTGAAGCAAGGTCACTTTCTTGCCTCCCGGGCTCGGTACAGGCGGGGCCTAGTCAAGTGCCCCCTCCAACCAGGCCTCAGGACTGCTGACCAGCTTCAGCTGGCCCCTAGGTTCCGGCCGCCCACCTGGCTTCAATCTTTGCACCCTCCTCTCTTCTGTCCCTCAGCCCACCATGTCTGCCTCCAACCCACAACATCTTCTGATCAAGTCACCAGTCGCATTGTTACTGGGGCAACTGAAACTTCACAGCTCTCCCTCCTGCCTCAGCAACTGCCTGACACCCACCTCTTCTGTTCTTCTCCCACTACAGCCACTTCTCGGGTCCCTCAGAGGGTGCCTCCTCTTCCTCTTTCCCTTCCTCCTTTCCTCTTCCCCTCCCTTCCTCCCCCCTCTGCCTCTCCTTTTCCTCCTTCCCCATCTTCATCACTAATGGCCCAGTTCAGTCCTGAGCCCTTTCCACCTCTCTTGGGGTCAGCTCTGCCATTCCTCTGCCTTCAGTTCCCATCTGAAAGCCAACAAGTGCCTCTCCATCTCCAGCGCAGTGCTCCCTCCCTAGCTGCCACACCTGTAACTAATAACACATAGCTAACAGTTATGGACCCCTTATGATGAGCAGAATGTACATTCTACTAAAAGCTTCTAGTTGCAGCTTCTCATCTAATGTCCACACTACCCTCTAGGTATGGGTTTTGTTATCCCCAAATTGCAGGTTTCAGGAGTAACATCATGTCCTACTTGTGTGGCTCAGTGGGTTGAGCGTCATTCCACAAACCAAAAGGTCTCCAGTTCGATTCCCAGTCCAGTCACATGCCTGGGTTGTGGGCCAAGTCCCCGGCTGGGGGCATGCAAGAGGCAGCCAACCAATGTTTCTCTGGCACACTGATGTTTCCCTCCCTCTTTCTCCCTCCCTTCCCCTCTCTCTGAAAATAAATAAATAAAACTTTCAAAAGAAGGAGAAGAAACATCACCTTCTTAGGAGCACACGATTATAACAGAGGAGGGGAAGGATGTGGCCCAGGATCCAGTGAGGCCAGAGGGGCTCACTCTCCCCTCTGCTGTTCCTCCTGTGGGCCTGTACCTCCCCCTGAGTGTGCCTCGGCCCTCAAACCGCCCGGTCCCTCTTCCCTGCCCAGGAAGTCCCCTTTATCCTCCGAGTCACCCAACTGGAAACTGGGGTCTCATTCTCATCCCCTCCCTTTGTTTCCCAAATTAAAATCCTGCCCCCCATGAGTCGGCCCTCACAATGCAGGGCTCTGCCGAACCACATGAATAACAGATGGGTAGGGCTCCACAAGGCTCTTCAGCATGTCTTGGATTCACCCCAACGCCCTCCTACCCTCCAAGAAGATCTAACAGCCTCTCCCCCAACACAACTTGCCTTGTATACCTCCTTGCCTTTATCCTATAGCTGTTCTGTCACCTGGAGGTTCCTCTTCTTGTTAGCGGACAGGAGCCTGGCCCTGAGGGGGTCTGCCTGGGGCCAACTGTAGTGTGTGGGTTCTTGACTTGTGTAGGAAAGATTTCACAACACGAGTCCAGGTGACCATGAAGATGCATTTATTAGAGCTGCAGACAGTGAAACAAGGAGGGGCTTAGCATAGAGGAAGCAACAGGAGAGAGCCCAGGTTGGGCTGCCTTGGCTCACTGGGAGGTCAGAGAAAAGGGGGCCTTGGAGACAGGTGCAGGGGATCAGCCTGGGACAAGGGGCCAGGTGCCCACTGCCTTAGAGTTTAGGAGACACAAGCCTGTGGGGAAAGAAGGCAAAGGCAATGGCACACACTGCTCCCCAGAGGGAGAGCATGCCCACTGGGTTTTTGTCTTGAGGCTTTTCTCTCTTTCTTGCAGGCAGAAGTCTTAGAAGAGGTCTCAGGGAAGGCTTTCAGCAAAATAGTCATCAGTTCTCCAAGTTTGCCCTTTCAGGGTTGTGGTCTTCACTGATTGGTCAGTGGCAGGGCCCGGCGTCTTGAGTCATTGCAGTTGGTTCTGGCATCGCCTGCCTGGTTTTGCTGCTTTTCTGGGCCTGGAGCTGAAACACAGCTGAGGTCTGGATGTTATCGCCAGGGAGGAGAGCCCGGGGAAGGAGAGGTCCCCTGGGGGCCAGGCCCTTGTTTTCCCAGGTTTGCCCCCTGTCAGGCACTGGGGCCTTCCGCCCTGGTGACCATCTGCCCCGGCTGTAAGTTGTTCGGCCGCTGTGTTCAGCTCTCTGTCTCAGTTTCCCTGTTCCACTAGCCAAGGACTTTTCCTAGCTTCTCATTTCTCCCCTGGCTCCATCTGTCCGACAAACTAATCCTTCGTGACACCACACTAAAGGGCCACCTCCTGCAGGAAGCCCTCTGTCGCTGTCTCAGAGCAAGGCTGAGCTGCTGCAGCACTTGTCCCAGCTGGTGGATCTGAAGCCATCTGCTTCCCTGCAGCAGAGCCCTCCCCTCCTCACCATCTCTTGTCTGACTGCAGGATTCCTGGTCACGCTCCTGCCTCTGCTCCCCCCTCTACTCCCCCTTCGGTCTGTTTCCCACTCAGCAGGCAGAGCAAACCTTTGAAAATGGAAGTCAAGTCACATGACTCTCCTGCTTAAGCCCCCCAGTGGCTCCCATCTCCCTGCTTTCCATGACTTGCATGGTCTTGCCCCGCCTCCCTCTCTGAGCGCTCCCCACCCCTTTGGCTGCAGCCTCCTCTCTGTTCCTCAAACACGTCAACTCTGCCCCCTCAGGGACTGTGCGCTTCCTGTGCCCCTTCCCCGAAACTCTTCTACTCTCTCTTGGAATGACTCACCCCATGGGCTCCCTCCATACAAGGGGTCTCCTGGTTATTCTACATCATGATACCTTTTTTTCCTTTAGAACTCCTATCAGGCTACTCTTTTGTTTCCTAGGCTGCGCATGCCATGAAGGCAGAAGCAATGTTTACCTTCTCCCACAGTTGACTCGCTGCACACACAGGGCTGAGTAGGTGTTTATGAAATAACCACTCCGGCCCGTGTCGTGACTGTTTGTGCACGTGCTTGTCTGTCTCACTGGTCTGTGAGACCCTCCAGGGCTCCTGCTCAATAATAAATTAAATGTTTATTTTTGGATCCATCTCTCCCCATTCGAATGGAAGCTCCATGAAGACAGGGACTTTTGTTGATTGCTGTATTCTCTGTGCCTAGAACAATGCCTGGAAAATAGCAGTTGCTCAATAAATATTTACTGAATGCTGAAACGCAGGAGTGTGGCCAGATTCTCTCTCTGTCCACAGCGCCCGCTCAGATCCAGGCCCAGGGGAACTCTCAGTGAACACGAGCGGAATGAGCAACGGGTGTGTGCTAAGAATGTGTGCACTGATGGTGCCCGGATTTCTGGGGCTTGGACAAGGAGCTCGTGTGGATCTTATCTGTGTCTCATATACACAAACCTCCCTTGAGAGCCCACCAGGGGTGTCCAACCTTTTGGTGTCTCTGGGCCACACTGGAAGAATTGTCTTGGGCCACACATTAAATACATTGTGACACGTGGTAACCAAAAAGAATCTCATCATGTTTTAAGTAAATTTACGATTTTGTGTTGGGCCGCATTCACAGCCATCCTGGGGACCGGCAGTCTGCAGGTTGGACGCTCCTGGCCCTGGATCTACAGGAAGGAAGTCTTACCTGGAAGTGATCGCTCACAGCCATCTGGTGGTCACCTAGGGAAATGCAGGTACTGTCAGTGCTGGGATGATGGTGACTTCTGCGCTAGAAGGGGAAGGCGCCCTGGACTTGGCTGCAGATAGCCCTGGCTTCAGTCACTTACTGTGTGATTTGGGGCAACACGTTCTGCTTCTCCGGGCTTCACCTATGAAGTTGCAACGCAGGGCTGTTGTAAGCACTGGGCTCTGGTTTGGCCCCTGGAGGTGGGACTGGGGAGGGTGTTGATGGTGGGGAGAAGCAAGGAGGCAGGGCGGAGGGCATGAAGAAAAGCGAGAAGGAAGGGCTTCCCCTTCCTCTAGAAAGCAAATCTCTGGGGCGGAGAGGCCTGATTGGCAGTGACGGCCTCAGCTGCCCTGCTGGCATGGGGCGGCGGTTTTGGAGCGCGAGAGTGCGTGTGTGAAAACCCGCAGGCTCGCGGAGTCTCTTAGATCTCAGGGTTTCTCAGGGTTAGAAATATCACTGCGCTCTTTTCCTCCCTGGCTGCCTGAGGATCGACCCTCACCACGAACGACACAGTCACTGTCGAGATCAGGAGGTTCTAGAAACATGGTCTTCACTGTCCTTCCCCCTGGGAAGGCAGCCGTACCTGAGACAGAAATATGGGACAAACGAGCCAAAATGTCCAAGACCGCACCAGATGTCATCTTTATATTTAGAGCCAGAACTTATTTTGGTGGTGGTAAAAAAAAATGGCCTTGACATAATTTGCGATTTCTTCATTTATGTAAAGAAAAATGAACCCAAATACAAGCTCGCAGCCATGGCCTGTATGCGGGGAAAAAGACCTCAAGAAAATGGTGGATGGGACACGTGAACAGGAGGAAGGCGGTCAGGGCTACGGGAAAGGCCGATGTTGGTGCAAAAAGAAGTGAAGACTCTGCAATGACTTCATCTGTGGTCATTGTGCAGGTTTTTTATGAGATAATTAGTAAACTATGAAAACATTTCAAAAACGTTCACTGCTACTCAATACAGCAGAAGATAGTCTACTGTACACCCCTTCCCTGC